AAAGTCTAATCATAAAATACTGAACCGCCGCTTGTGAAATTCCAATGGAAAAATATCTGACTAAATGCTAAAGTATCCCGTACTTTCTAAAGTCACGCAAAACCGTCCGCGAGTTTGACTTTTCAGCCGCGGAACGGTATCTCGCGGAGTTACGCGTACAACGCGAGCACGCGCTCGGACGCGAGTGAAAATGCACGATCATTACATACGAGACCACTTTCGAGACGCTGTAATCTCCAGTCTGGCCACTTTCGATTCGCGGCCGAGTGACTGGCTGCGGATTTTGAGCGAAAGTGCCGCTCGAGAGACGAGAAGCTCGTGCCTCCAGCGCGTTCCTTCTAACCCAGTTCCAAACTCATCGAATACCCCTCTTCCTCATTCTGACTGATTCTCACGCAACTCTCTCGATTGACGTTCCAACACTAACAACTTCTTCCATCTCGCCGATTCAACTTTCGTCGCCTGCTAAATTCCGTCATCGATCAACATTCCGTGCCGATTGCCGAAGCAAACTACGGGCAAACAGAAATAGCCCTCAGAAATTATCTGTTTGAAAGAATAAAGAACAAACCAAACATCATATGGATCTGATAAGAAAGAAATCGCGTGAAAAATCTAAGTAATTTAAAAAAAATTCCTTGGCTAACTATTAAATCTAAAGTCTAAAGACAGAATTTCTATTCTAATTCTCTTGTTATCTTATTGCACGCTGTAAATCACGATTTATCGATCTCTCGAAATCGACAACCGGCACGACAATCTGACTTTTCAGCTTTGCAGAATTCACGCTCACACGCTCTCCTGACTGACTGAGCTGTATGTGACATGCTCATACATCAACCGATACACCTCGCGATCGCTCCAGCTACAAGGTAGCACGTTCTCTCAATCGCTGATCTCGCTCTTATTTTCTCTCTCTTTTCCTCCGGTTGTCTTTCCCTCTTTTTCTCTCTCTTTCTCCCACTGTATATTCTGTCTTGCTCTCTCTCTCTCTCTCTCTGTCTGTCCGCATTCAGATCGGTTTCGCTTCGATGATCTGGCCTCCTTAGAACTGGGCTTCTCGTTACTCAGTCGGCCGATTCGCTTTTACTACTCGAAATCTGCGCCAAACGGCCGAACGCTACATCGATCGCATCAATTCTTTCCTTCTTTCTCTCGCTTTCCAGCCACAATATAATCTCATACACAGTCTTACACTCCTTGCGAACGCAAGATTTTCATCAGCTGCTAATTTCTATCTTTTTCTTCTTCTTATTCTTGCGCTGTCGCCATTTTCTCTATGTCACGCACTAGTTGCCGCGAGACTTTGTCGCAACCGAGTCGAATTCCTCCGCTTCCGTCTCGAAGCGCTTGGCTCTGTTCGCTCCGATTTAATTTAATTTCGTGGGAAAGACGCGAATCATTCGCTTCAAAGAAGATATATGACTACGCGCTTTGCGTGTAATAATTTAAAATCCAATTGTTTGGACTTTGAGCATCAAGTGCTGGATTAAAATTGGCTCGATGCCTTTTTCGAATCTTATTCGGTTCCATTCACTTCGGATAAGTTTCACTTACGAAAAGAATTTAACAGACTCGTCTTCTTGTATTCCAGAATTTGTATTGAGAATCGTACTTTACTGTACACAAAAGTGTGGATCATCTGTCCATTTGCTTCACGGTTTTTAAGACAATTTCGTGCAATCTTCGATCGCGAGTTTCGTGTCAGAGATTTTTATTAAAAGTAAGCAAATTTCAGTAAATCTTTTAACAAGCAAACGATCGAGAAGAAAAAAATTTACTTGAATTTACTTGAATTGAAATATTTAAAAGACTCAACAAGAGAGAAAAGTATGGAGTTAATAATTCGTCGGCAAAGATTATCTTGTTTGCTTTAGATTTCGAAAACCTAGTTTGCAAATCGAATCGCAAATGAAATTAAATCGGAGTGATCTCGTGTGTTTATCGTCTATATTTTTCTTCTGCTCGCTACGTGGAGGATATGCGCGCGTGTATGTGGATATTTGTGCGTGTGTTGGTTCACTTGCAATTCTCTTTTCTCGCGGTTCGTTCCCTCGACGCGTGGCACGTCGAGGCACCGGCTCACTTTTTATTTCATTTTTACTCTTCCGCTGCCTGTTTTTTTTATTTTTTTTATTTTTTTATTTTTTTTTTTTTTTACCTTTTTCGCAACAGTCCATCTCTTCACCATGTACTTCTATTTTCTCGCATTTTTATCTCAACAACGCCTGCGCGTTTCTCTCCGTTTCACTTATACTGACTCACAAAAATATTTGAACACTTGTGCAAGTCTTTTCCGAACGTACAATGAATGTACATTATATACAGAATTTAAAAAATAAGTTAAAAAGTATTTATTGTATTTCGCAAAATTACTTGTAAATAGTCAAATATTTATACACTGTATTAATATTTAATGTATAATTGGAACAAGAGTTTTAACAAATTAAATTAAAAAGCAATCAATTCGCAAACAAAAACACTACTAGTGTAATTCAAATTTTCCATAACGCGTGTAATGTATTGATAAAAATGTTCAAATACATTCGTGAGTCACTGTATTTGTTTATGTGAATAACAACACGTGGAATTAGAGCTGCGTGCGAATCGTTGCGAGCCAACGAAACAAACGATACTCTCGACTTGAACACTTCTCGTGATGGGCAACGTTAGTTCGTCGATTTTTCGTCTCTCCAACGATTTTTTTCTCTCTGTCGTCGTTTTGTTCCTCTCGATCCATGGAGTTCCCTGCGATCTTGAAGGTTCCTCGAGGAAAGAGATATCTACAGTTCTTTTTCAAGAACCTTCAAGACCGATTTACAAGGACTTTCTTTTATTATATTTTCTAATTCGTTCTGTTTGTCATGCCCATTACGTTGATTCTGTTATACGCTTTTCCAGTCGCGAGGCGACTAGAAATCAGAGGGAAATTCCTCGGAAACGAAAAAAAAAAAAAAAAAAAAAAATTGAAGAGAAGCTAACGAAAAGGTCGTTCGAACTCATTCAGTGGCGTAGGAACTGTTAGTACAAGAACAAATCGAATTCCCTGACAAATTGCTCGATACATTCGTGACTTTCTACCATTTTATCAGTTGAAATAAAGAGACAATAATAAGCAGAGAGAATAGATAGAAATAGAGAGTTAATTCCTGTTCGGGTTCTTCCGTAAATCTTCTCTTGCAACCTGCAATTTGTGATACAAGACAGATTTTGTACCGACACCAAGCATAACAAAATTGCGTCGGAGGCTCCAGTTTAAAGAAACTCAAGTTTGGAAATCCGTGTACCTTTTAAAAGTTGGAATAAAAACGTTGCGATAAAAACATGTAAGAAGTATCATATTCCACCAGTACACTCCAGGATTAATTTAATAACATTCACGATAACAGAAAACGGTCAGGAAAATGTTAAGAAAACTCTTCACACCCTTGTACACGTGTATATAGATACCAGATTAAACAGACGGAAAACCGTGACTGGCCGTACGAGATGTACATAGTTAGTTCGATATATAATATCCAAGCTGGCGAGGTACCGTAGCTTTGGGTCACATTAATCCCGCACAGTAGCAACCTTTAACCCCACCAAGAATTTCGCCAAGAAATTAAACCAATTATCACTGCCATATATATGTAGTGTTAGCTACGAGGAGCATTATTTGATCGACGATGTAATTTCCCTGACGTAATGTAATTCCGCAAGTGAAGTAGAATCACACACTGGTTCCTGCGCCACTGGTGAGCGCGTTACGATCTTTGTACATAAATTGGGCAAAGTAAAAGTAGAAGTTACAGCTGTGGTGGACGCCAAATGGCCCCCGTAATAGCGATCGATCGACGCAGCCGTGTCAGCCGACGAGTCGGCCCGTTAACGAGAATTACGTTTGCAGAGCCACGTAAGGTGTTGCCCATCTTGAGGACCGACGAACCAGTCTGCCCCGAGGGGAAACTGTCGTGCGGTAACGGCGAGTGCGTGGACAAGGAGCTCTTCTGCAACGGTAAACCCGACTGCAAGGACGAATCCGACGAGAACGCGTGCAGTAAGTCTTTCGATACGATCGGATCGCGATCGTAATTCTTTCTTCTTTCGGTCAGCGACGCATAACGACGCGTAACGAATTCTTAAAGTTCTCGATGATGCAAAAATACATTCTGGTTGGTTGATATTTTTAGTATTTTAAATCCGAATATTCTATTATTGTTATTTAATAATCGACTCGCAATCGTATATTTGCGCAAAATAATAATAATAATCGATGTCGATTGGTTTTACCTCTTAAATTCGAATTCTTTAGCTTCCTTTAACGTAAAGGAAGTCGTTTTCGCTCGTCGATTTGCGAGAAACTTGAAGAGAAATACGAATTTTTGAAATCTAATGATAATTAGTTGGATTTAAACCACGTTTCTTTCGGTAAAGAAAGATCATCTTCCCTTACAGCTGTGGAAACGGATCCAAACCGCGCGCCAGATTGCGATCCGACCCAGTGCGTGCTTCCGGATTGCTACTGTTCCGCCGATGGTACCAGAATTCCCGGCAACATCGAGCCAACCCAGGTCCCCCAAATGATCACCATCACCTTCAACGGAGCGGTGAACGTGGACAACATCGACTTGTACGAAGAAATCTTCAACGGGCAACGTCAGAATCCTAACGGCTGCCAGATCAGAGGGACATTCTTCGTTTCCCACAAATACACCAATTACTCTGCCGTGCAAGATCTTCACCGCCGTGGTCACGAGATCGCAGTGTTCTCTTTGACCCACAAAGACGACCCGCAATATTGGACGCAGGGAACTTACGACGACTGGCTGGCGGAGATGGCTGGAGCCAGACTCATTATCGAACGCTTCGCAAACATCACTGACGGTTCCATTATCGGAATGAGGGCTCCGTATCTCCGCGTGGGCGGTAACAAGCAGTTCGAGATGATGGCTGACCAATTCTTCGTCTATGACGCCTCCATCACCGCCTCGTTGGGTCGTGTGCCTATCTGGCCGTATACCTTGTACTTCAGGATGCCGCACAAGTGCAACGGGAACGGTGGCAACTGCCCATCGAGATCGCATCCCGTCTGGGAGATGGTGATGAACGAATTGGACAGAAGAGACGACCCCACTTTCGACGAGTCTCTACCTGGCTGTCACATGGTGGACTCTTGCTCCAACATTCAGACTGGCGAACAGTTCGCCAGGCTCCTCAGGCACAACTTCAACAGGCACTTCAACAGCAACCGGGCGCCACTTGGCCTTCACTTCCACGCCTCGTGGTTGAAGAGCAAGAAGGAGTACAGAGAGGAATTGATCAAATTCATCGAGGAGATGCTGGCCAGGAGCGACGTGTATTTCGTTACCATGGTTCAGGTGAGTGGATCCGATTCTTCCCGGGTTTCGGGTAGTGTTTAATTAAGGAGGATGAAATTGATTGGAAGGAACACTTTTTAGTTTGAGTGGTTCAGAATTCGTTTAACGACAGCGTCGTAATTTGTCGAACATTACAGGTATTTCAATATTTGTTCCTTAGAGAAAATTTTTTTAACATTTTGTTCAATTTACCTAATGTCACGGTGCATAGGAACATTATTATGACAGTATCGTATATTTTAAAATTAAAAATTAAAAATTAGCAATTAAAAATATTTGAAACATTTTTCAAAATAGTTTGAGGAAAGAAATTCTGGTTAGATTTCTGGCTAAAGGTATAAACAGTTTTTTAAACTTATTACGCGGAAATGGCATTTAATTCAAGAGAAATTTGCTGAAACTGTTATTACGACTCTCTTGGCTTATTCCAATTTATCTGCCGTTTTCAATCTCGCCGCATCACGACGTTTCTCATTCGTGAACCATCAAGCCTCGGACTTGCTTTTATTTCGTTTTACGTTGATTTATTTTCCGCTTTCAATCTAACCGTACGATACGAACTCTCTCCCTCTCTCTCTCTCTCTCTCTCTCTCTCTCTCTCTCTTTCTCTGACTGTTCCACTGCATTTGTAGACGTTTGCGATCGATTCAAAATCTATCAACGATTACTTGTCTGTTAGTTTCGTTCTCGCACGATTTTACTTTGGATATTCGGAGAACAAGTTAAATGTCAATTTTAAAAATTAAATTAAATTTAACTAAACGGAACGAACGTCTCAAAAATAAGTTAATAATCTCAAAGCGATGAGAAACGTACGAACGCTACAAACTTAATTCACTAAAGCAAGAAATTAATTTCACGCTCCGTCTGATTAAATGCGGCCTCGTTCTATTTGCAAGTAAATACTAACTTCTAATACATAAACCTAATACATAAAGTAAAGTGCTCGTTACAGTTAGTAGATGAAAAATCTGTGCTCAAACACTATTCATTTACTCGTGCCTAAAGAAATAAGAATGTTTATAAATATCTGTAGTTTATTAATATTTTTCTACTTTAAACTTTCTGTTTCAATCTGATTTGCCAAAAGAAATTTCCTCTTTCTATATTGTATTACCCTTTTAGCAAACCGAGAGGATAGTACAACTAAAAATTATTTCTACAACTAAATGAAATCACTCGGAGCCTCGTCTGACTATACACGTTCTTATTCCTCTCAGGTGATCAAGTGGATGCAAACTCCGACGGAACTCTCAGCGCTGAGGGACTTCCAAGATTGGAAAGAAACCTGCGACGAGAAGGGACAACCCTACTGTTCACTTCCAAATGCCTGTCCCTTGACCACTAGAGAACTACCCGGCGAAACCCTTCGCTTGTTCACCTGCATGGAATGCCCAAACTACTATCCATGGCTGCTCGATCCAACTGGTGACGGTTTCACCGCGAACAAATGAGCAATTCGTGGTTGAGATCTGTAGGTCATGTGACGCGTGTTTTTAAGAAAAACATCAAGAGTCTAAAGTAAAACAAGCAAATCAAGGGGAGTAAGTCTCTTGAAGGAACACGCGCCGAACCGTGTCGCACGGGAAACGCGTCGCGAACGGAAATGAGGGATTGTTGACTCGATTAATTTGATTTTTCAAACAAGAAACAAGTGAAACGCATTTCGTTACACGGAGATCCGTGAATTTCTAGAAATCCTTCGCGAGTTAAAACGTTTCATTCTTTTTTATTGTGATATTCTTGAAATGGAATTTTATAATGGTCGGGATGAATGGTCAATTTACGTCGTAAGATTCTTGAGTTGTATTCGTGTTATTACTGCGGAAGATTGTCGTCGTAGTTTCTCTTAGTAGACGTTCGCGAA